GCACAGAGAGGTTCACGGCCTGGCTCCTGATAGGAGCGGCAGTGGTTGGTGAACAGAGTTATCATGTTTGCACATAGACGTCAATTTGAGCGTGAGTCACGATTAGCTGGACGGTGGGGTGGGGCTCCTCCTCGCTCAGCTCTTCTGTTTCAGATACGAGAGTTTGAGGCGGGAAATTGCTACTCTGGTAAATGCACTGGGAAAAGGATTGAAGTCTGTAAATCATACTGTATGTTTTAAAGCCTGCAGTTTTCATTTTAAACCAGCTTCTTATGAAAAAAAAAAAACATAATACCCACATTAAAAATGACTTTCTCCCCCCTGAACAATTCTAATGTTTCTAATTTTCCACAATATGTTCAGCTATGAGGATSAAAACTGCAAATAAGAGGATACATCATAACTTTTGGTTTTGAGCTGCAACTATTTTTTGTCTTTGTCGCTTCAAAAATAAATAAAAGCAGCAATATAAATGCTTTTCTTGGAATTTTATTCATCATTTAAAACATCTTAAGCTCAAAAGTTTGTATGTGTGACTTCTTTTTATTTGTGATGTTATATTTGGAATTTGTCATTTGTGGATTTTATTTCCCSTTCAGCTGCAGCTAATGTGTTTAAAATAACATGTTCTGTAATAATTTACAGAATAAAAAAGCCACAGATATACACAATGGTTCACATTAAAACAAACACGTTTGTGCTATGGTTTCAACGATAATACAGCGATTTACATAAATGTGCCTGACTCTGTATATTAGTTTYAATTAAAAATAAGTGTTTGTAAGAAATGTAAAAACATTTCCACCCAGAGACGTACAAAATGAAATTTGCATATTTATGAATATGTTAATTTCTATAAAACTGGTTTTRTGTGTTTRTAAGTCACTTTCTGCATTTGAGGCAGGGTTTCAACATGTTTAACATTTATTCATTCTAAACCTTGAAGAGGATTTTCAGTATTTCGTCACATATTTTGACAAACCTACACTTCCAGCGTGCAGTTTCTACAACATTTACTACAGGCAATAAATGCTGTGTGTGTTCTGCAAAAGCATGCAACAATAACTGAGGCAGTCATTAATACAACTTTAATAAAMCATGTCTTGCAAAAAAGCAAAGTGCTTATATTCATACTGTATTTAAAGTGCACTGATGGATAGTCCGATCAACAAATCCAGTACATAACAGGAATAAAAATACTGTAAAATCTTTTATTGTTACGTGCTAAAATATTTATTTCTACATTAGATATTGATTGTTTTTTTCTGACTGTGGATGTTATATTTTAGTGCCTGTGTTGGCYAGAACACTTGTAAAAGATTTTAAATCTTAAGAGTTTTTCCATTTTTATCCCACCTCGGTTAAATAAAGTTTAAAGAAGTGCACTTTAACTAAAAAGGGTGGTAAACTASATTTCAAAAGAAAGGGAAACACAAGAGAAACAGTTTAAACCTGGTTCAAACTGGAGGATCGGAYAAAGGGAAAGAAAACCAGGAGTATAGTGCAGGTGATTACTGAGTTCAAACAGGTGAACCGCTGACAGATGAGATRCAGGTGGGTACAGCTGAACAATGAGGGGAACTGTAAATGTCATGAAACCAAAGGACAAAACCCAACTTAAAGTAAAAACAATAACCCAAAAATCATGACGATTACTTTAATTAAAACAGGTGTCTAATTCTCTTGGTCAAAAAGAAGCAACATTTTTAGTTTGCAGGGGGTTGTACAAAGTAAGATAAACAGAGTTTACTGAATTATGAATCAGGATCTGTCTAAAACCTGGCTGGATCTCCATCGTAACATTAAATATWTATTGTATGGACTCAAATCCACCATAAAATCCAGTTTGACCATAACTCATTTATTTGTTTAATTAAAATATAATTTTCAGCAGAATGCATTTAGAAACTTGAATGCACTCGCAAACCTCCTGACTTTACGCCTATAAGAAACTACAGTTTTGCCACAGTAAACAAATGTGTGCATTCAGTTACACTGATGATGTAAAATGGTCTGTGTGAGTAGGTTTTTGTTTTTTGTCCAGATTTGCAGAGAAGTCCTATGAGATTTAATTTCTCTTCATCATAGCCTGTGCGATATGGCTGAAAAATGTATCACGATAAGTGTATAACAGCCGATAGCAATAATATTGATCTGTCTCTTGCTTTACTGATTTGAAATAAGGACAGGGAAAAGAGAGGCTGATTAATACTGCCAAAATATTGATATAACCTTTCAACTTTTATCTACAATTTCCTCTTGAGCCGTTGCACTCATTTTCTCCTTTCACACCACGTTGTTCTTTTTATTTTTGCATGTTCACTTCAGGTTCTTTCATCTGGAAGCTAAAAGCTCAAACTCAAACAGTTTCACTGTTGTTTAACTGATATATTTTTGCCTTTTTTTTGCAGCTTGTCTTTTTCGATTCAACTTGCTGTCGCTGGTTTACTTTTTTTATCTTCTGCTGCTGCCATGGTTCCTGTTTCCCAACAAATACACAATCAAAGGTACGACCGCCTGGCTTTGAAGGTCCGATCTGAAATAATGTTG